ACACTAAATCTTTAATTCTTTTTCTTTATATTTATTACATAAATAAAACAATTTTTATTTTAAATTTCACTATATTTCATGTAGTTAATCCCTCCTATACATTTATAAAACAAAAAATTAATACTCTAAAATACATTTAAACTTCATATTTTTATAAATTTTTAAATTTATTAGTGGAGATTTTATGTGGTATATCTAGTTTATTTGAATTCAGGTGAGTGTTATAGTTGTTTCTTCAAAATGAAAACACAATTTTTCGAGCAAGTTAAGTTAATTTTTTAAATGAAATATTTATTTGAAACATTATTAAGTGAAAAAAAAATACAAAAATTTGAAGTTCTTAAAACTGTTTACAAAATTGATTATGTGTTTATTAATAATGATGTGATACAAATAAGTGTTGTAGGACCTCAAAAATGGTTTAAGAAACTTTTATAATAATGAATCTCTGTTTAAGATCCCTATCCTCTTAGAACTTTTATAATATTGAATATTTAAAGATCCAACTATTCTTTTAATTGTCCAACCTTTCAAAGATGATAACTGTTTAAGATTTTTTTTTTTTAATTTACGAGAACAAAATAATCATATTTTAATACGTTTTTTCGCTGATTAAGACTATGTGCTATCTCTTTGGACCTACATATAAATAAAACTATCTAATTTTACTATGCTTAAGAATGTTAGTTTAATTTATTTGATGTTCCTAACTTTAAAAAATGAATAAGTATATAACTATACTTTATAGATGATCCTCTATCATATGTATTGGGATAATCTTAATGTTAAACATAAGAATAGGATAAGTTAGTTAGCATTTAACTATATTTAAGTCCACTAAATATATATAACCTTTATTTATATTTGTGTGCATGTAAATTAATTTCTTCAAAAATGGAGTCAATGCTATTTGCTTTTTTTTACTTCTTTGTTTACTCCCTCCATCTAAAACTGACTTCTGAAAATGGTTGTAGTTTTAACTTTAAAAAAAAAATCAAATTTATTGATATTCTCGATTTTTTATTTTTCTCTTGGCTCTAATTAAACAATGTCAATATTTGTATTTGCAGAAGAAATGCATTATTGAGAGAGTAATATTATTTTAATAAGTGACATTCATTCTTTCTTATTCATGTGGAACAAAAGGGTAGTTACTAATCGAAGTTTTCAATTGTAAAAACCTTGAAAGTTCCAAACATGAAAGGACTATGTTAATTAATTTATTACATTGTTTCATGTTCTTTCATTCAGATATAATGTATGCTTATCATGAGAGGTTTAAAAATAGAAGAAACCCTCACAAATCTCAAATACTTATACTTATCTATATGTCTATTTTTTGGTATAATTATGTGTTTTTATTATTCGTTGGTGCTATAAATATATTCTTTATTATTGGGTTATTAATAAGTTTATTATACTTAAAATTTGATTTGTTGATGATAGAAATGTGGGAAAATAGATGAACAAATAGAATTGCTGAAGAGAAAGTTGAAGTTGATCTACCAAGGTGAGGCCTTCAATGGAAAACCCACCAAGACAGCACGCTCTCATGGCAAAAAGTTCCAAGTTTCTATTAAACGAGAAACTTCAAGATTACTGGTATTTTATTTCAAACCAATCTTTATTCTTACTTATCAATAAACTTTTTATTTTCTGCCTATGTTTTGACTTTTTAAGGTTAGGTTAAATATTTTTTTTTATTTCAATGATGTAATAATTTTTCACTTTCATATTATTATTTTGAGTGCTATGAATCTGGTTTCATTTTTGCTATTTAAATAAGTCAGTATATTATTTTCCATTAAGTTTTTGGTGACAGACATTACTGTAATGTCACGGTATTTGTTATTCATGTGTCATTTTTATTAACAAGTCAACTTTCAACTTTGACTGATGATGTATTATATGTTGATGTCATGTGTCATTAATTTATTTTTGAAAAAAATATAATCAAATTGAAAATTTTCAAAATAGTAGAGAAAATTGAAAGGACAAAAAAGTTTATTTGATTTATTGGGTTATTACCATTGTTTTTGGAGAGTCACATATTTTAGCTTTGTTATTGTACAGGGAAACCTGGGCTGGGCCTACATGCAAAAGACGAACTACATGATGGCGGAAGTGGTGTATCGGAAAGCCCAAATGATTGATCCAGATTGTAACAAGGCCTATAACTTGGGCCTGTGCCTCGTTAAACAAGCCAAATTTGAGGAGGCTCAATTTATTCTTGAAGCAGTGTTAAAAGGAAACCTTCCAGGCTCGGACGATAGCAAATCAAGGAAACGGGCCCAAGATTTGTTAAAGGAGTTGAGGTCAATGTTACCTCCTCCACAATTATCAGATCTTTTGGGCCTGGATGATGAGTTCATCAAAGGCCTGGAACGGCTGGTAAATGAATGGGGCCCAATTAGATCAAAGAGACTTCCAATTTTTGAGGAGATTTCATCATTTAGAGATCAACTAGCTTGTTAAATTCCTATACTTTGTGTATAGATTTTTGATGGATTGAGAATGTTACTTTTGTTTAAGAGTGAGGAATTGAATGGAGTGAAGATCTAGATGTAAATTAATAATGATAAAAAAAAAAAACAATAAGACTATTGTTCTTATGAACATCAATGAGACATTTTGGAAGCCACTTTTAGTTTATAGGATTATTGGAACCAAAAATGAAATGTTTTCTACACAAATGCAAAATGTGAACTTTAGCTTCACCAATCTCACATTACAAACTTTTATGTTTCTGCAACCAAATGTGTGATATCAGACAAGAAGAACAGGAAATTATTATGCAGTTGGTGAGTCCCTTTATACTGCAAACTGTGGATGAACATCATTTAAAATAATTAAGATATTCATGTAAATTTTTAATATGCATACATTATCACAATATTCAGTTAGTAACTACAAAATTGTCTTTGTTCTAATTTTTTATATAATTATCATATCTATACTTTATAGTTTGTGATAACAATAGAAAAAGACTGTTAAACTCTAAAAACATGTTATATATCCAAAATGTTTTCATGTGTATTCACTAAGATTGGATCACTTCACTATATCATTGTATTCATTAATATATTGCATGTGCACAAAGAGTATTTATATTACATGTATGCATTGTTTTCTTTAATAATTTCATGAAAGATAATTTTATTTTGTATGTCCGCAAAAATATTTTATATTAATAGTGTTTAAACTGTTTTAAATAGTATACTGCATCAAGATCCATATAAATAAAAAGTTTAATTTCAATATTATTAATATAAAGACGTTCATTGTCGAATATTTAGAAATTATCTTAAATAACTGAAAATTATTAAAAAGGTAAATTATTTTACTATAAATAAAAATTCGTAATTGAACTGTAATATAAATGAAATGCATTATCGATATAACTTCCTAATACAGACCCAGATATAAAAAATCAAAAAATGTATATATGACGAATTTAAACATAACCAAACTTTAATGAATTTGATATTGTTTAACGTTATTATTTTTATGGGATTTTTATTTAAAATCCATTTCCAGTAAAAATAGTCAAGAATAATTAGAACTATAATTTTTTAATTTACATTCTTAAACAAAAGAATAATTTGTTTTCTTTTATCCAAAGTATAAAAAATCAGTCTCTATAATGTATAACATTAATAAAGGTTTTTTTTTTTAACTTTAACTATAATGTATAACATTAATAATGTGTACAAATATTTATAATTTTATATTTAGGAAATTATTCTTTAAAACTCAATTAATTATCCACAATAAGAAAGAAAAAGATCTACCAGTACAATAAAAGAAAGCTAAGTATGATAAAATCATAAAAATTATTTTTTATTTAAATTACTTCTTATGAAAATTTTTACAATTTAATAATATATTTTATTTTAATAATTGCTTAATTATTATAATAATCAGTTTTAATTTTTTGTTATCATAATAGAATAAATGAAATTAATCGTTTTAATTTGTCAATTGGAAAGAAAGATTTCAATTGATATAATTCATCTAACTTTAAACTCAATCTAACTTTACATTATTTCTCCACTCACGTATTGAAAATGCAATTTTTCCCTTCAACTCATTTCTAACGGAAATTCACACTCCCTTCAGTAAATTTTGGAATATCTTACTGGTATGAGTTATACATGCAATTTTGAGGGTATTATCCAAACCTATTCGACAAGAAATTCTTGTACGGTTTTAATGCTAATTCATGTCTTCACACCGGTTTTGTTTTAAATTAATTAAACATTTTAGTGTTATATTAACCTTTATTTATTTCTTAATTTCTTAACTTTCTATAAGAACCGATTTTGGTGTATGACCTCCAAAGGGGCTGTCGTTCGAAGAATCGTAGCTCGATGTGCAGAATATCATTGTCAGAACTATGCTACTCAAATTAATTTTCACAAGAATATTCATTTCATAGAAAACGACAAGAATAAATTGAATGAGATCCCCGCCGTTAGACACCTATTTTCAGTCAACAGATTGATCGGTCAATTTCTCATTTTCCAATTTTTCTTTCAAATAATATTTTGTATTCCTTAGACTTCTCAACAAACCTAATCCCCTTACACCTACCCACGGACCGTAAATAAATTTCTCGCAGAAAGAACACGTCTTGTTATCTCAAGACCAAGACACTAATCTTACAACTTACCAAAACTTCAGGGCATTGAATTTTGCCTGCGAACATTACAAGTGAATTTGGAGAACTGTACAATTGAATGTTCAGCAAGCGTATTAATGCAAACAGGACTTTACTCTTATAATGCATGAAACTGAAATGCAATAACAGCAAGCGTTTTAACAATATTTTCGCAGAAAACAAACTATCTTTCACGTGTCCTAAGCTAAAAATGGATAGGAAAAAACGTGCATTCCGCCGATCCCTACGTTTTCCCAAACACCATTGGTACCATTCGTGTTCAACGTCTGTTTTTGCTTGTCTTTGTTTGGCCTCAACTGGTAAAGAAATACTCAGTTAATTGAGCAAACCTAATGAATGAATTAAAACCCCACCAATTTAACCAAACAACAGCGTTTAGAATTAGCACATTAGAATACGCAAAGGTTGGCTTCTTATGTGTCATAAATAAAACAGCATAATCTTCAAAACCAAATGATTAAACTCCCACCTAAACTATATAAAATGGCAAACTACCATTACGCTATGGGAGACAAGATGGAAATACTAAAGCATCACACACTATACAAGCAATGCCATGTAATATTGATCATCAAATTTGGAAGAATGTAAATCCCAAAAAGTAAGTCAAAAGCACCATGCCGACACTACGCGCACAATGGCAATCTGCTAGTAACAATCATATCGAGTGAGGAGACAAATACCACAGTTGAAGCCAGAAAGTGGGAAGACTCATTTACCACAGTGGAAGCCACCACAAACGGAAAGAACAATAATGAGAATCAAGGCAATTAAGATACCCAGAACGATTAGCTTTATCTTCATGTTTTGAAACCACATCTTTCTCCTAATCTTGGTTCCCTGCTGCCTGAAATCCTGAGCCTGCAAGATCAATTTAACTGATGAGGCACAGAAAAGTTATATTTAAAAGACATAAAAACAGTACAATAAACTACCAATTCCTCTACGTCACAGGACCCATAATATTAAACAAATTCAATGTTTGAAGGGAAACAAAAAGGAAGAATACAACACAACATGAATGCACGAGAGTTACGTATCACAATGCTAACCAATACTTTCATAGTGTGATCTAACTGATGACTTAGAAACATACAATGTGGTTAAAGTCTCCTCAAACTGGTGAATATAAAGAGAAATTTAGTATTCCCGAGACAGTTTGTAGATGACTGTGTCTAATACATAATTATTTCTATACTCTTGACAACAAATAACACCAATAAAAAGGGAGGTTTAAAGAGAATGAAGTGTGTTGAATCTCTAGTCATCTCTTACTTCAAATTTACATAATAAGACATCAGTAATATTAATAAAAAAATGGACCTGAGAACGAAGGTTCTCTGTTTTATCCACCAAAAGCTCGATTTTCTCCCCACGGTCAAGAACCTGCCAAATAGAATAAACGTCACGGCAACTTAGTAATAAAGTTACAGGAACATATAAGTTTAAATTCAAACCCATACAGACAAATATGCCCACCAAAAAAAAAAAGACTAGCACAAAATTTTACCCTCATAACGCAGTCCACCCACTAATAGCAAAAAGGATAATTGCCTTACCTTCTCAATATTTTCCATCATAACTCCTTTGACTTCTGACACCTGAGCTTTCACTTTAGCAAGCTTGCTGATTTCCTCTGGATGATCAACACAATACTGCATCTGCTCCTTCAACTTAGGTCTATACTACAACAAATATTTCACGATAATTGATCTCATTACAGAAGATTATAAAGACAAATTTGCATTTCACATATATACCCAAAATCTCTGTTGAGGCTCTGAGCGGCAGCTGTTGCTGCTTTTCCTCCAGCATACTTTTTGGTAAAATCCTCCTTGATTCGTTCAAGGAAAGCAATTGGAATCTGCCGTCCAGCAGATTCAACAGCAACCACACAATAAGCTACAATATTCAGCGGCATTTAGTTAGTCCTAACTAACTTAAAAAACACAGTCAAGCTACTTGAGAGGAAATCTAGTGAGTCTTTCGCTCCTCACTTGTGTATATATTTCACTCATAAAAGGTAGGCGTACAAGACAAGAAAAAAGAAAATGGAATAGGAGACAGCCTGTGACCCTTCAAGATCAAACATCAAAAAACAGCTTTATAAAAAGCTGTCCCACAGATAAAGAGAAGGATTGTTTTAACAAAGCTAATAGCAATAAAGTCAGAATTAAACATTTATAATTCCATATAGTTCACCTCCAGAAAACCAAAAGATTTCATTCAAAACCCTTACAACACTACTAAGTTTTCCTCAATCATCTAAATTGTTTTAAGAGAGATCCCTGACCATGATTTCACAACATCAAGGTTTTTGGACTCTGCATGATGGTCGAATCGCATTCCAACCCCAACTGTGGCCACATCAACCACAATTTTCCACAAGTCAAGAATTGTGATGAAACCACAACTGCAATTTAAAACCTTGATCATCCTCTTCAACGGCTACTAAAATAATGGAAAAATTAATCTATATCCCTTACTATCCACAAATAGCTTTACTAAAATTAGAAATGGTGCTTTGTCATAAGCCAGTGAGCACAAATCGGCTACAACAGACACAACACAATGCTACAAACTACCATACATGCCTATAAATATAAAATATGAATTATCCAAATACTTCACTGCTTCCATTTCCGCGTTTACTTTTTGTTTATCACACTCGAACAACCAAGTTTGATCCCCAGGGGTTAACCTAATCATGTCAGGCTACACACGCCGTGTAACGAACTCTATTTCTGTTTCTTTTTTCATTTCTAGCACGCAGATCAAGAGGTAACGGACATCGCACATCCAATGTCGATGAAGATCGGACGAAGCATATTTTAAACATTAATCCGATATTTGAACCGTCCGATCTTCATCAAACAGTGCTGGTTTACATCAGCGCGTGCGCGTACGCGCACCGAATCCGGTTCCAAGAACAAACACAGTAAAATCAAAAAACGAAAGCAGATCAGCGAAACAATACAACAGGTAGATATATATACAGAGAGAGAGAGAGAGAGGAGTTACTGAATCCGTTATCCACGAGGTAGTTGAAGGTGTGGCCATCGCAGTTGTAAGTGAACTTGTTGTTGGAGGAAGGGAGTTTCTGGAGGCACTGCTCCGCCACGCCCGTGAAGTTTCCGGTGAACTCAGTGTACTCGGCAAGGATCACGGTGCCGCGAGCGACGAAGCTGTAGATCAACGATTGCTGTCCCATCGCCGGAACCACAACGGCAGCAGAACGAACAACACCGCGCGACTCCTAGAGGAAGGTGACGTGGCAGGTTGAGGAGAGAGAAAGAACGAAAGAACGGCAGCGGTTGTAGAAAGAGAAAGCGCAGAAGAAGAACGGGGAGGCTTCGTTCTTCCGCTGTACACAGACGGTGTTTGATTTTGTTGGCTTAGATGTGAAGCAAGCGTGAAATAGAAGAAAAGAGGGTATACGATGTTGAAATGCCCTCGACTTTTGTCCGTTATTACGAAGTGCCACGCCACTTTCAAATTTCGCTGCCATACATTTTCAAATTGGTTGAGGGTTTTCAAACAGTGTCCTTCAAAGTCGTTCTCTAGAGGAACGTCACATTCACACCTGAGTAAGGGTATTGTTTTAGATTTTGGATTGTACAAATTTTAAATTAGAAAAAAATTATATGTCTCTGTTAAAATTGTTGACTCAACTCAAATATGTATGGTCTTTTTTCTTTTTAACTAAATTCGTAAGAAATAACTGAATAATGTGTTTTAAAATGTTTCAATTGATACCTATTGTTTGATTATTCACAAATTTCAGTTGCACATTCTAAGGACCGAAAAATTTAAGAAATTGGAGAAGACAAGTGTATGCACAGGATTGGATCGTTCAGTTTTCAGAGTCATATATAAATGAAAGTTTCAAAAATTTGTCTTATTCTTTGCATGCACAAATTCTCTCTCCAACCTTATGATCTCTTTTTTCTCCTCATTCTCTCTAAAAATCTCTCATCTCACCTCATCTGATTTATAATCAGATTGTGTGTAAGCTATCCTAGTGTCAAGGACTTCCATTCTCACTTATCAAACTTGTGTTTTGAACGGGTAAGTTTCATTTCTTGAGTTATGTTAAAATCTGGAAAATCCTGTCACATGCAAGGTAGCCTACTGGTTGCATGTGTTCTTCAACCTTTTTTTCCCCTTTCTAACTCCATTTTGGTCCATTGGGTGGTCTTTTCTCACCAATCGATGAACTGTAGGTGTTCACAGGAATTTCTGGTGGTGATCGAGTTTGTAGTTGTTTAGCTCTCGGTTCGGTCAAAGAGGTAAGGGAAGCTAGTTAATTTAATTATGATTTACTATGTATGAAAATGTTGTTTGATGATTATGCATGTGTGTAAAATTGAATGGTTTGATATTAGGCATTGTTGGTGTGTGTGTGTTGTTTACATGTTAAATGAAATGTTGTGATTGTTGAGTTGTAGATTATATCTATCTTGGAAGGAGTATTATGGGTTGAAAAACATCCAGCTTTGGTAAATTCTAGTGTGTAATTCATTCTATAGAAGTTCTACAGAATTATGTAGAAAGTCGAGCGCTCGGTCAGGTCAGGTAATTGGGCTTAGCGGTATTCGGTTTCGTAGTGATATTCTGGCTTAGTGTTGTTCGATTTAGTATTAGTGTTCAGTTTTAAAAGTACTCGTTTTCGATCTCGACAGTCTTTGGGTTGGTATTATCGTTCGTTCTTAGTTGTACTGCGTTTAGCGTTCGTTATTAGTATTAGCGTTCGGTTTTAGTAGTATTCGATTGAATATAGTGTTCAGTCATACTTTATCGATTATGTCTTATACTAGCGTTTGGTCATACACTAGTATTCGATAGTCATAGCGATCGGCCCGCTCGGTCATATGTTGATTGGCCGCTCTGCCATGTTTAGGTACTTGGTCATTAATTGGGTTTGGTCTCTTTAGTCTTACCCATTCATGACTGTTCGGTCTTAGGTGTGTTGGTGGTTTCTTGGTAGTGCTTGGTCTCGTACTAGCGCTTGTTCTTGGTAGTGTTTGGTCTCGTACTAGCGCTCATTCTTGGTAGTGCTTAGTCTCGTACTAGCACTCGTTTTGGGTAGTGCTCGGTCTCGTACTACGCTCATTCTAGGTAGTGCTTAGTCACGTATTAGCGATCGTTCTTGGTAGTGCTCGGTATTATACTAGCAGTTATGATAGAGTTAGCGTTTGGCCTAAGCTATATGTGTTTGGTATAAGATTTAAGTGTTCGACTTATGCTTGAGTCATATTCTCTAAATGATCGTTCGGTCATGTTCTCATATAGGGAGTGTTCTCCCATGCGGCCTTGTCCATAAGTTGTGTTGATCTTTTTTGTTCGGTCGTGTTCAAGGGTGGGATTTGTTTTATTGTTCAGTGTGATTTCTATTTAAAGACGTTATGGATGAGGAAGTATGATGGTATTAAAGTATGTTATGATATGTGTAATATGGATATGAAAGAGTATTCCAAGGAGGAATATCCCGTGCAAGGTTATTGATTTGTAAAGTATGAATATCGATATTGTGTTAAGTTGGCGTTCATCCTGACATTCTAATGGTCACCGAGTCTCAAGTAGAGAATGGTGATGCATGTGGTGAGAATAGCAGGAAGCATGGTCGTGTTTAGCTTGGGGTTCCAGCTAACGGACTAAACTCATGTTGTAGCTTGGGTTTCCAGTTACAGTGAGGGATGAAGGGCTAACCCCGTGTGGCGGCTTGGGTTTCCAGCTATGGTATTCGTGAGGTTTCCAATTTACCTTTCTACGGGTGCAAGAACGACCATAGCTACATATTCATACTACTCCGAACAGTCAGAATCAAGTGGTCGGTTATAACATGATTGTATGATTTTTGTACATGTATTATTGTATAATATGTTTGTTTGAATTGCATGTTAATATGGTTAATTAAATTACACTAGTTTACCATTATTTTCCTGTCTTGTCATGTTGTCCGTTCGGTGGTATGTGTCCTTGTAATGATCACCCTATGGGTGTGAGCAAAGTGTGAAAAGGCTTTCTCTGGGGCAGGTGTTGAGCGAGGAGTCTTCAACCTCTTAGACTAGGACCGTTCGGTTGATACATCTCTTGTATGACCGTTCGGTTTGCTCTTGTGGTTTGTATTCAGTGTAGGATTTTAGAAAGTTTTAAATTTATGGTTATTTTAGGATAACTGTAAGTTAATTTTATTTCCTGTAACTGTTCTATTTTATTGTAAATGTAAGTACTCTTAAATATAGTTTACAACTATATTTTTAGGATGCTACACACATACTAATAATTTAACTTTGGATTTTTTTACAATAGAATTTTTTATAAAATTGATGAGCAACACATTATTGCATTTATTTTTAATTAGATTCGCATCCTAATATTAATATATAGAAATTACGGTAGCACCTATAAGAATATAGTAAAAAGAAAATACTAAACTAAATCCTTATTTGTTATATACAGTGTAAATAGTTGAGTACTGGTCGGCCTTAATATTGATATTTTCATAAGATAACAGTGCAAACCATATCATATATGTTGTATGTTGAGTTCTTCCTGTCAAACATTACGTGCTCCTACCACAAGTGTATTGTATGTCAAGGTCTGCGTATCATGTACTGTTGAGGACTATGTGCCTTCTACCATAAGCGTACCATGTGTTAAAGATAGTGTGTTTCTTGGTGAGGGTTGCATGTCGTCTATGGAAAGCTCGATGTCGCCTACTAAGTGTGAACAACTAGAATCAATTCCGCTTAATAGGTCAAGTGTCATCTACGAAGAGTAAGATATCGCTTACTAGGTGCAGACAACCAAAATAATTACCATTTACCAGAAAAAGTGTTATCTATGAATAATTGGATGTCACCTACTAAGTATCGACTATTAGAACAAACTCTATGTGTCGTTTGTCAAGGTCCATGTAACATCTATGAGAACTATATGTTTCTTACTAAACTAAAGGTGAACTATCCGGCCACAAGCTGGCCTGTTTGAATGTCTTTGCTCGGCAACAAGTCGACCTGTGTGTTTGCTTCTACCTAACCATAAGTCGACCTTGTATATAACACTTCTTTTAGGATGTCACACATGTAGTTTATAAAACATTTGTTAACTTAAGAAAATTTAAACTCTGATACTATCAATAAACAATGAACTAAAAAAAACTTTATTTAATTATCATGAGCAAAATTAAAACCACATGGAAACAAACATTATTCCAATTATAATTTAAATAAATTATTGTCTCTAATACATTTCGAAAACTCACGTAAGATTTACTCACACGTCTCCTCGCTCTAGACATCACCAACACCATTTGTAATATCATCTGTTCCTGAATAACAACAAAAGTTATATAGTTATTGCACAAACACAAACAAGTAAGGGTGAACTAACTAGAAAACAATACAAGATAATATACAATAACCATACTCACTCACTCTACTCATATCATCCATTCCAATCCATGAAATCAAACCACATTTGTGTCACACGCAACACATTACCAAGTAATATTCAAACAATAAGTTATTATCCTATAACCTACCGTCACACAACCTATTTACCAAAATACGATTATTCGAAGCGTCTTGCTGTCACAATAATAACTTGCCTCCCGTCACTCTATCTAGTCACCAAAACCTTACTATCATAGTTGTCCTACTTGCTTCCATAAGCTTTACGAGTAGACCATGCTCAAGCCCAAAGCCTTACGGTTAAGACTCGTTTCCCTTGCTTTTGTAAGCCTTATGAGTATAAACTCTACTTGAGCCAAAGCCTTACGGGCGAAACAACCTCCCTTTTCCAATGCCTCACACAAACGAAAAGATATAACAGTTGAAACTCTCCTTTTACATTGCCTCACATAGGCGAAAATGACCCTTCTCCCTAGCTTATCAAAGCCTCAAGCGAAAAGGAACAAAACCTGACTTTAAAAATTTAGGAAAGAAGACATAACAACCAAATTCACCTCTTAGCACCAACTGACCGACAAGCCAACAAACTATCACACCTCTCAATAACAACTGGACTAGCAATAACAACTGCACTTGCCTCCTAGTAACAATTGAACCAACAAACCATTACACAATCACGTCTTCCAACGACAATCAAACTGATGTGACAATAAACAAACTCGACTCCAAGAAAGGTTTCCCACTAAACTAGATTCGTTTTAAACAAAAGAAAAGTAAAAGATCTCGAATACACCCAACAGATCACTTCAGTACACATATTAGATTTTGATTTTCTACATTAGTGTTAGGTTGCACCTTAGTACTGTTGGATGGCACCTTTAAATTAAATTACAAAGAGCTCTAGTGGTCCAAGGCACTGAGGGCCAATTGGGGACCATTGGACGCTAATTAAAAATTTAATTCCAAAGAACTCCAATGGCTTAGGTGTTGGGCGTTAACTTTTTGGCATTGGGTTCCAACTTCCTAACATTGAGAGTTGGCTTTTGGCGATAAGCGTTAATTGAAACAAAATCTTCTATGTTGTTTTCTTTGGGCACACCTAGTTGTCCACTAGGCAAGACTTTCTTTAAGAGTGGCTTGTTAGGTAGATAATGGGTAACACTAAGATGAATTTGATAAAAGGTTTTCATAAAAGCTTATCTTGAATGGATGAGACTAAATGAAATGAAAGGATGAATCTTATGGTAATGGTAAATGTTAGGTGCAATTGAGCTTGGGTTGTATGTCAAAAATCTACTAGGGAAAATGTGATTTAAATATAATTTGCATCATGGGTGAAGGTGGATTGAATCAAGAGATCATATGATATAAATGGAATTATTTGACTTGTTTATGTTATATATGGATATGTTGTGTGAATACGAGTAATTCTAAGGAGAATTGTCGCATTGTCAAGTATTATAGAATGTATTGAGTGGGAGTCTCAATTGTGAAGTCATTCTAACTTTACTAAACTCATAAACTCAGATAATGAAGTTTAGGTGATGATAGTTGAAGAAGATTCTTGATCTACGAAATCGGTATGACATAATGTCATAACCTAAAGGAGTGATGAAATTAACCATGTCATAGTAGATGTGTGTCAGGTGGAACCATAACAATTAATTACTCAAATTCACTATATGAACGCACGTGGAGCTACAACAATTATTTTTGCTTTAGAGAATAATTCCATGACAAATACAAAATTTTATACTTCTTACCTATTTAACTAAAGATATATCAAAATTAATCTATCCAATCAAATAAGTGTTTTGTTTGAAAACAACTAAAAAGCTATCGATGATCAACCTAATAAGACATGTCACATATTATTTATTTTCGTATTTTTATCTTAAATTTAACTATAAATTAAAAATTTCAACTAAAAATAAAAATTATATATATATATATATATATATATATATATATATATATATGATTTAATGTTTGCAGGGGTCCTTATTTTGGTCCGAAATCTTAAATAGGTCCATTTTCTTTTCGGCATATCCGTTGAGTTTCTTTTATTGTAAAATTGATTCAATTAGAGGTCTGCTGTCAAATTCAACAAACAGTCATTTAAGTGATGGTAACGTGGCATAGTCAATTGAATGAGTAATCACATGTGGTATTAAAATTGAGTTTTTTATTAAAAAATTTGTACAGAGAGAAGTGAAATCAGATTGAGGGAAGGACAAAGGGGGAAAATGAAAAAATTTAAGGGCACCTCGCTGCCGAATCCAGGGATCAAGTGGATCAAAATCCGCGACACCTCACTCTTCCTTCTCTGAAGGCTTCGATTTACATAACCTGCTAAGAAGATCATCGAACGCAGCCGGAGCGAAAACGTCACCGTAGGAGAACTTGGAGGAGCTCTTGAGGCCGGGAGCGCCGTAAAAAATGTCGTCGTCATGCATAGGTTTGTCGTAGACCGATTTATCATGAGCCGGGAGGTTAACGGACTTGGAGCGGAAATCGACGGAGCCGCGAAACATGGAGTCGAAGTCATAGGACGCGTCTGACTTGCCACCGCCACTGAAGAGATCGTCAAAGGAAGCGGCGTTGACATAATCGTGGCCAGCCAAAGAACTGGAAGCTCGAGCCGGACCGCGAACCTAAATCGAAGTTGAGAGAAGATGAAATATTAACGTCTTTTTTTTAATTCATTTTTTATTTATTTATTCTCCTTTCATCTTCTGCTTCTTGTTGGTTAATACTACCTCAATTAGGTCGTCTTCTTCTTGCTTTGTCTCTTCACTTCTTCTACTTTTCCAACTATATTAAAGAATTTTGCATCACAGTATTCTTCGAATTCTGTTAGGTGCTATTTTGGGATCGAATCATGTATGTTATGGATTCCTCACCCACGAACCCTGGCGCTTCCAATCGAACAAAGAACCCGATTTTTCCCCTTCAAACGAACCATAATAATAAGAATCCCCAATTTTTTTCCCCAATCTGAGTTGCATATCTCAATTAAAGGGTTACCCTTAAATTTTTTCATTTTTCCCCTCTGCCCTTCCATCAATCTGATTTCACCTCTCTCCATACAATTTTTTTAATAGAAAACTCAATTTTAATGCCACATGTGATTACTCATTCAACTGACCATGCCACGTTACCAAAACTTAAACGTCGTTTGTTGAATTTGACGACAGACCTCTAATTGAATCAATTTTACAATAAAAGAGATCCAATTGATACGCTAAAAAGAAAATGACCTATTTAAGATTTCGGACCAAAATAAGGATCTCTGGATACATTAAACCTCTCTCTATATAATATTAAAATTTTATATTAAAAGTGATATATTAGATATTTTATAAGAAAAATTCATAAACTAAAAATGGTCAATTTCCTTTGTTTATCTTACTAAAAATGTTCCATCACACCCTGGATGATACCTTATTATTCCAATCAAATAAACAAATTTTATACAATGTTGATATCATATCATGCAAGTATATATATTAAACTACAAAAAGTGGCAGGTGAGTGGTAAGTATCATCCACCACAATTGAACCCATCACACACTGAAAGAACAATTATGAGAATGATGGCAATAATGATGGCGAGTACTATCAGCTTTATCTTCATGTTCTGATACCACATTTTTCTCCTTAACTGGTTTCCAACTCCCCTGAAATCACTGGCCTTCAAAACCATACAAAATTCACAAATCGATTACACCCCACAGATCTTTTTGTACATTGAAGATGACAAGTTTTGATGCATGATACTGGCATGTAACATATCAAAGAACTGGTTTGGTCAATGTAGATGAAAATAAGTGAAAAAGACTTCAACCACTTTTAATTTTCCTTGACAGATACATTTTGGCTACAACTTAAATGTAGCATACCAAGAATCTATTGAAACAACACAGTCATCTATGCTAGTTTTGTGATACTTTCATGGCACAGTGACCATGCTATACAGTTATTCATTCACTTTGGATACATTAGGCCAACTGAACCCTTCATTTAGTGAACCGACATTTAAGTGGAGAATGTTTTGTAAATAAAAATATTATTTTAATGTGATTCTCGTAGTTTAAATTTGAAGAAAGTGCTTATAAACTAAAGAAAATTGCTGAATAATCCTCTTTAATTTATCGACATCTATCTTTAAATTTAATATTTAAAAATATTATAATTTTTTTGCATTTAAAAATACCAAATAACATCTTTATTCATAAATAACTTTTGGAAATTTTATATTGATTAAAAGATAAATAAGTAAATTTAAATCTCAATTTAGAGATTAATTCTGTATGGTTAAGTTAAATGTAAAGTGTACCTTTTACTAGTGATGTTCTATTTCAAGTTTTTCCTAGACATTATTCAACCAAACATATAGGTTAAGTGACCCTGCTTGATCTAAAATCATATCAGTTCAATTTTTCATAGACTTGGTGAGTTTGAGTTAAAGTTGTTAAATTTGATTTCTACAAAATCTGTTTTTGAAGTGAGTTAATTGAAGTAAGTAAACATTAAGTTTCGTTTAAAATTTCCAACTCAAAGCAAAAGTTATTCAAAGTTGTTTTAATTTGAAATCAATTTTAAACTTATTATATTAATTCTTTTACAAAAATAAATCATGTAAGTAGAATCATAAGTTTTTTAATCCACAAAATAGTAATTATAATATGTTATTTTTTGCTAACTGTTAATATAAAAGTGAAATCATAAATAGTACCTGATCCCGAAGATCCTCAGTTTGGCCCACCAAAACATCAATTTTCACTTGACGATCAAGAACCTAAGACATAAAACAATGATTGGCAAAATATGGTGTGAAATAAGGTCCAATAATTTAACACTATATATACCTGATCAATGTTTGCCCGCATAGCTTGTTGGACTTCAGAAACCTGAGCTTTCACTTTCGCTAGTTTGCTAACCTCTTCTGGGTGTTCCACACAATACTGCATATGTTCCTTCAACTTGGGTCTAAAACCCCACACAACAATTAAAGGCTTCATTTATTAGTACATTTCATCAAACACTTAGAGGCCCCATTTGCTTTAGACAATAAGTAAACATAATATTAAGTACCCGAATTCTTTGTTTAAGCTTTTAGAAGTGGCTGTTGCAGCTTTTCCTCCACCATATCTCTTGCTAAAATCATCCTTGATGCGTTCAAGAAATGCCATTGCAAGTTGCCGACCAACGGATTCCACTGCCACAACACAGTAAGCTAAAAATAATACATCATGTCAGTCCAACTATTTCTGCCTTAATTCACTAGGAAACATGTGCAAATTACAAACTTTCACCATGAATGTTGCTACCAAAACTTTACTCTTAACACTTCTATCTAAAATATGATAATAATTGCAAACCAATAAAAGTATAATCCATATTAACAACAAATAATGTACAAAATAAAGTAATAAAATGTAAGAAATATATAAATAAAGTTATATTTTTCCTCACAATTGTTTATTCAATACTGACAGCAAAAACACAAAAAGCACGAACATGAAACATAAGCTTAATACATTTTAAACATGAATATTAGTTAAAAATATACAAAATAAGTTTTGACCGAAATTACATTTTCTGGATTTCTTAAATTGACAACCAAGAAAGAGAGTACACGATAACGCTAATTTATCTTAATCTTTCAACCACTAGCTTGTCGTATTTATGTAATGTTTATATTATAGTATCTACTTAGATAGTAAAGATTTTTAATTTTAACCAAAAGTCGCTGCATGATTTCATTTCCAATAAATTAAAATCTGATTTCGATTAAAATCAATTTAAAACTGAAATAATATTAATTTTAAGAATTAAAAAAATTAAATGTGAGTCTAAATTTTACATTAAATAAATTTAAAAAAATAAAAAATTATATAAAAATGAAAATTCATTGATAGTCTTAAGATTTTAAATTGCAAATGACGTTAATTTTTTATAAATTAAATTTAGATATGATTAATGTTATTTGTTTATTCATTAAAGTAAAAATCCTGAAATTTAGCATAAATTTTTTAATATAGTAATAAAAGCTGCTTAAAATTATTTCAATTCAAAATTAATTATAGAGATTAAATCAATTCTTTAACATGAAGCTAAACATTATCTTAAAAATTACATTAGGTAATATGTTATTCATATATTTATTATAACTTAACATCAATTCAAATACATTAAGACCAACAAGTTGATGAATATTGAATTAGGTTTCACAACCAGCAATCTAAAACTACTATCTGGGTGGGGCACGGTGATGTAAAGTCTACTGATAAAGAATGGTTCAATTAGTTTGAATGTCGCTATAGTTTATTTAATTTTTCAACTAAATAATATATCTTACTTTTTAATTAAGTCATCATGTTACATGTTATTAAGCCTACTATATCAATAATATATTTTACCTTTTAATTGACCTGACAAAAAATCAAATATAATTTCTGTTACATAAATTGTCTCACTTCATGATTGAATTAATTTTATATAAATAAATATAGAATATAAATACATATAAAATATGAAGTTTAGGCAAAAAGAAAAGACTTTTTTCTCTATTGTATTTAATAAAAGGTTAACATTTATTAGAAAATAGAAAATAAGAAAATAATTCATTGAATAAATAATGAGATTCCCAAATTTTGTAAAAGTCTTATAAAATTTATTTAATAATAAAACGTTAGTGAAAAAAGTGTGTTGTTATTTTTTTTATTGATAGTGTAGTAACAAAAACTCTAATAATAACCAAACCTTTAGAAAAATAAAAAGTACTAGACTTCTAAATCAAATTTTAAAAAGTCCATATGATACAACACAAATGAAGACGAGTCAACCAATATGAAAATGTGGACATTAGAATGTTCCTTAAGACCGTTTCTAAGATTAACCGAGCAATTCAAAGTATCCGCAGACAGAAAAAAAAAAACAAACAAACAACTGGCACGATATCACACCTGCACCGAATACAACTTCTAAGATTAACATAAAGAATTGAAAGTTACGTGTGTCATTGGAAAAATTCTATAATTAATATTAATGTGTTTTATAAGATAATGGTTAAAAAATATAATAAAATTATTATATATTTTCAATTCATACAAATTTTTCTCAAAAAAAAGTAATTAAAATTAAAACCTAGAAATAATTAAGATTTTTATGTCATTATTTAGTTATAGATTTTACATATGATACATTTATTAATTTCTATAATAATTATAATAAATTTTATTAATGAAATTAATTTTGGCTGTTAATGCTATGCTTTTTTTTACATTGATAGCACGCGACTTTTGTTTTGTGTTGAGAGGGATCATAGAATAATCAAAAGTTAATCTCCCTAAAACTTGAAGAAGAAGAATTATAATAAATTGATTTTTTTATTTAATTTAAATACATTCAATTTATATAATTTTTATATCATTGTTAAAAGTATATTTAATAAAGTAGGTGGTAGATGATTAGCTCATAAATTAGTTTGATAAATACAAATGTATTTTATAAGGTACTTCAAAATATTTATTTTAGAATGTTTTGGTTTATCTAGTTTATAAGTTAGATATTATTTTAAGATTTTTCTATTATTATCTATTATATTTTAATACATCTTCTTTTATTTATATTTTTTTATCTATTATTATTTATTTTCAATTTTATACCAAAATTAATTATTATATTAATGATTACATAATTTTTAATATTTGTTTTAAATATATCTAATATCTAATTTTAAAAATTAAAATAATTACTATTTCATTACATAATTATATTAGATAAAAATAGTAAAAGGAACTCTGTGTAACAAACTTTAAATTAAAAAAAATTATAAAAGTAAATAAAATATAATAACTTATCTAAACAGAAAAAGACATGTCCAATATTTAGAAAACAAATAGAAACAAATAAACAATGTAATAAAAAGTTCAATTATTTATTAGAAAAATATAAAAATATAATTACATAATAATATATTTTATCTTAAAAACATAAATTTTTTAATTTTATTATTAATTAAAAGGTAAAATCTAGCTTGTGGAAACTAACTTTATCAACTATATTGTAAACGACCTTGTGTCTAAAATTATATTTAAGGTGATTTACGCTAATTAATTTAGAAATTCAGTGGAAATTAAGTGAAATTCATTTCATTGAAATTGTTTAGGTTCTATGCATGGAAAGAAATTAAAAAAGTAGTTAAAATGCGTGAATCGAAATGATATAACAGAAAAATGAAAATCTTGGTAGAAGGTAGGGAGGAAGAGAGATTACTGAATCCATTATCGTTGAGGTAGTTGAAGGTATGAGCATCGGCGTTATAGGTGAATTTGGAATTGGAAGCAGGGAGCCTGCGAAGGCAGTCCAAAGCTACCTCCGTGAAGTTTCCATTGAAGTCGGTGTACTCCGCCAGAATCACCGTGCCCCGCGCCACGAAGCTGTATATCAGGGATTGCTGCCCCGTCATGAGATCAATCAGTGAAAGAAACAAATTAACAACTCGGAAGAGAGAAAAAGAGAAAAAGTTGAATATTGGTGGATCGTAGAAGAAGGGCTTTAAAGTGAGGGAGAGCAAAAGCGTGTGTGGGGTTTTCAAAATTTGGGAAACGGAGAAGGAAACGTCAGAGGAACCAGGCGCAACACGAGACTCTTTCCTTCCATGAACAACCAATTCTAATATCAATAATATTATTATATGGTAAACACGTAAACTTAAGATTTTTCTTTTTTCTTTCTTTCTAGAATACACCTTTTTAAAAAATATTCGAAACTTAAGTAAACTTTATTTACCACGTTAAACCCTTTTACTATGCACTTTAGAAATTCAATCTGAAATAAGTTTGTCCAAATTAAAAAAAAAAATGGTTATAATGTTTTTGGAGCCTGATTGTAGATCTGGTTTTTTCAATTTTATTTTGAAAACGGGAAAAAATAGAAAAAAAATGAATAATAATAATAATGTCTAATGCGATTCATGAACAATGTAATTGTTAATATAAACAATAGATTAAAAATCATTTTTAGTAAATAAATATCTATTTAGATTGTGTACTTAAATGTATAACATAAAGTGATATTATAAAATGAACAGTAATTATTTTTTAAAATAAATTATATAAATTAAATAAAAACTGCTTTAAGAAAATGGTAATTTGGGGTGAGACAAAATTTAAAGGAGTTGTTATATTATAAATATAAAATTGATTTAAATTTAAAACACAAGAATGTGATGATTTATTATTTTAAGATATACTATTTACATTTTAAATTGAAAAGTTATTATTGATCAATGCAGTGATCAGATTAAATTTTAAAATTGTAAATGTATTTGTTTGAAATTCAAAATATATTTTCAAATAATAAACATTTATAAAAGTGGTAAGTATAAGAAATCAAGAGAACATAAATATTGTTAAACTGAATACGCAATCATTCAAGTATAATCTTGGGATGTTATGTTGGTGGATATATGTATTATTTTACATGTCACAAATAATTTCATCAAGTTTTGTTTTGTATAGATATTTTATTTGGATAAAAGTACACTATTGGAACAGTTAGCTTTATAACGGAGGTTTGAATACACTTGTTAAAGTCTTTTTGCAAAATATTAGATAAAATAGAATATATTCATACTTAGGAGTTATAATTATTTCTCTATTAAGATAATTACCACACATAATTACTGGTAGAGTTACACATTAATTTTGTCTTGACAGTAAAATCTTACATATCACATTTTAATTTAGATCATAATGTAACTAACATAACTGTAAAACCAATACTCTAAGTTTATGTGTTAATTTTTATAAAGTGATAAGTTAATAGACATAAGATTCAACTCCGGGCTTAAAAGAAAGATAGATAGATTGATGCATATCTTCTTAATATGAAAAAGTGTGTTAATTCGTTAGTTGTTATTGGCTCTCCCATTTTTATAATAACATAAGATTTTGCTGACATTGTTTCATCCATTCTTAAACGCCTTCCATCATGAGTGACTCCGTGGAGCAACCCATCACATAACCAATGACTCCACCAATTTTTTTAATAAAATTCCTTACAATGGTTCTAACACTGTTAAGACTAATAATGGTTCAAGTATGCAAATTCAACACATTGGTTCAATTACTTGTTCCAATTTTAATAAACGTGTTGCTCTTGTTTTATAAGATTTCTTACACATTCCTTTTATCACAAGAAATTTAGGAAGTGCATCCGAGTTTGTTTAAAATAACCATGTATTTTTTTTAGTTTTATGTTTATTCATGTTATGCTAAAATTCGGAGATAAAATTCTTAAATGTGTTCTTAAAGATTATCATATGTTTTTTTCTTGAATGAGTAAACTAATTGAGGGTTGTACCCTTAAACGAAGTAGTGAATACTCTACACATGTTAATTGTATACAAGCTAATTCGAGTGATGTAAACATCAATGTGTTTGTTTGGGTCAATAGTGTCGTCGTATTTTTCTACTGTGAGGGCCTTCCAATTGGGGGAATTTGTGTTTCCATTATACCATTTATAAAAGGGTACCTTTTGCTCCTAAAAAGTGAGGATGTGTTGGCAATGCAGTTGTGCATTGATTAGTACCCTACACACTTTCTTTCATAGTTTTGATGCACGTCTAAGGTGGAGATGTTATATGTGTCTTACTAAGTCGAGGTTGACTTTTCTCTCCTTCTACCTCCTCAACTTTCCTATTCATCTTGGTATTTTATGCATTTAGTGCATTCATCTCCTCGACATTACGCTTTTTCAAATTGGTCAACTCCCTTTGTAACTCCATAAGCATTGATATACGGTTAAAATTGTTGTCAAGTACTTCAGTTTTAATTGCTCTTCTGTTGCTTGCCATGTTTCCAATAGACACCACGTATAGACGTACCTCAACCTCATAATGGATGTTAAATGTTCTTGCGAGATTGAAGTGAACTCGTGACTCACACATGTCTACATTGCCTTCTTATGCTCCTTAGACTAAAGTATCTCTGATAACTCTCACATGTATGTCCTCTTCTGATATGGTAGTATGAGTCATTGACCATCGAGCTTGGAAAGATATTTTGATGTTCAAGTCAGTGGTGCATTATATGTAATAAATGAATCTATTGGTGAACAATAACTATTTAAAGTACTTGTATGGACCTTAACCTTCATGGACCTAGGGTTTATAGGCTTGTCCCGTTTTAGGGTGTCTTTACATGATTAATTATCCTAATTCTTCATTATCTAATGTAAATTGTACTTAAGGCAATGTTGTCAATGTGAATGTCCAAGGTCATCATGTCCGATGTTGATATATTGTTTGAGGTGTCTTCCTTTTCGATCCCAATACACGACTTAAATTCAATAAAAAAGAGAGTTTATTTAAGAGCTAGAAAAATAAAATATTTTTCTAATATATACCCTCTGTAATTTAATTACTTGGTAGCAAATTATTTTTTTTCTCAGAGTTAAAAAAAAAGTGTTTATTTGAAAAAGGATATGACATTGATTAGTCAAATAATCGAAGCAAAAATGATAATATTGTCTCGATTAGTCAAATAACCAAAGTCATATATCTTGTACAAAAAATAAATAAATAAATGTCAATTTTGAAAGAGGATAGGGCTTTGGTTGCCCAATAACTAATAATGGAACTCATATGTCCCTTTTAGATAAATAAATAAAAAAAAAAAAGAGTGACTTTTTTGAAAAATTTAGCACACCTTTAAGTTTCAGTTCTTTGTTAACCGATGCTAAAAGATGTATATGACTTTCATTCATTTCAAACCGATACTTATAAATTTACAAAATTTACAAAAATGTTACTATATCGTTTTATGCTTCGATTTCTTCAAAACCAAAGCATAAGTTAGAACACTGATTCTACACCCGTGTAGCGACATGACTCAATCTTATAGATCAAATGAAAAATTTGTTCTAATCTTGTGATATTTTAAACGAGTCAAAATAATTTGGTCTCATCCTATTATAAGTTAAAAAATATTGTTTTAAAAAAGACCTATATTTGAAAAAAAAAGTGATGTAACTTAAACTAACATTAATTTTTATATGTACTGATTTAATACATGTACTTAATTAAGAAATATTTTTTCATGTTTTTTCAAATTATAATTAGGCTTAATTACCTACTTAGTCCCCATGTTAGGAGGTAATTTTCTGTTTAGTACCCAGTTTTAAAAATGTAGGCATTTGGTACCTATGTTTTGAAATTTGTATCAATTCAATCCTATCCAGTTAACGGCGTTATAATTGATGCGAGAAATTAAGGACGTTAATGATAGCCTGGGTGGAATAGCTATCAAATGTTTGAATGCATCTTCATTAACGTCCTTAATTTCTCGCATCAATTATAACGCCGTTAACTGGATAGGATTGAATTGATACAAATTTCAAAACATAGGTACCAAATGCCTACATTTTTAAAACCGGGTACTAAACAGAAAATTACCTCATAACATGGGGACTAAGTAGGTAATTAAGCCTTATAATTATTATTTTTAAAAAATAGAATAACTTATTAAAGCTAAATAGATCAAACAAAATTCATCCATTACAATTTAAAATTATAAAAAAAAATTAATCTATTATTTTATAAGTTAGTCAGCTGAATTTTTTTCTTAAGCAGAAAAATAAGAAAAAAAATTAATATGATTATTTTATAGAAGTAACTAACTTTAAACTCGGGTTCACGTACTAGTTAGTGTTTGTTTGTGTGTTTACTAAAAGATATTTAGATGCTAAGGAAAAAATAATAAATATTTTTTAAGTTTGTAATTAAGTTTTAAGTAGAATCAACTTGAAAAATGATTTATAGGTTTTGAAAACTTTGTAAAAATCATATGATAAAGCATGTGAAAAATATATAGTAGACTGTCTAAAAATATGAAGGATATGCTATATAAAGTAGACTGGCTAAGAGCACAAATTAGTGTATAATAAACTAGTTTAATATGTGTTTGTAGACTTGCTTAATTAGTGCATTAACAAACTTATTTAATATATATTATTAGATTTGTCTAATAAGTATATGAGTAGACTCGTCTAATACGTATTACTAGACTCATCTAATTGATATATGAACAAACCAGTCTAATGTATATTGTAAGAATCATTTGATGAGAAAATGGATAAAGTTGTTTAATGTGTATTAATAAACTCATCTAATATGTGTATGAATAGACTCGTCTAACTTATATTGTTAGACTCATTTAATTAATATATAAACAAACTTGTCTAATGTATGTTGTAAGACTCATTTGATTAGTGTTTATGGACATAGTCGTCTAATGTGTATTCTTAGACTTATCTATTCAATGTATAGAATGACTTACTCATCTATTCAATGTATGAAATGACTCACTCATCAATTCAATGTATGAAATGACTCAGTGAGTGTCTTTTGCTATATTAGTCTAATAAGTGTATCCATATTTGTCTAATATTTATTACTAGACTTGTGTAATGTTTTTCGTTATACTCATGTGTATGAATAGACTTGTTTAATGTGTAATTCGTATATGAATAAACTTCTTTAATGTGTATTACAACTTTTTGGACACTTGTCAACAAAATAAATGTGGGTAATAAAGTAAATTCCTATGCATGAATAGACTTGTGCAATGTATAATTTCAGGCTTGTCTTA